TTCTCTGTGTGCTGTGCTAGAACCTCCTGAAAAGGTTGTTTTTGTCTCTTGAATGTTTTATCTGAGAGAGAGAGAGATGAAACACATTTTATTTCCCACAAAGACTTAGGATAAAAGAAATGGTATCACTAAGCAAAAATGAATTACTATACAAACCCCAAAGAGCATTTTACAAGTTGAAGAGGGTACAGTACCAATTATACTATTATCTCACCCTACTCGCTGGGTGAATAGTCTGAAAGCCTAAAATTACAGTTGATGTTAGATTTCTTGGCTTCATTTGCAAATGGGAGTCATTTTCTTTTTTTTTTTTTTTTTGTGACTGCCATAAACACATGTTATATTGTTTAAGAGCAGCACTCCTTAGTTTGTTATGATATTTTCTCCTTTTTTTGTCCCCCATGTCAAAGGACCATTTTTTTCCCCCTCTTATTCTGGCTTGTTGCAAATTGATGTAATAGTGTATTTCTGAATGATTTACAGTGGTCTTAAGTACCATTTGAGCAGAGGCTTTTTGGCATGTGATTTGTTAGGAGACCAGTTCTGGAGAAGGTCCTCCAACTGGCCAGATGTGTCATTTTGGAACAGATTGAGGGCCTGCCAAAACACCATTTGTTGCCAGTACCGGATATTGTAGGGGTGCTCACCACCCTGTTACCATATTTTTGCACGTCTTAACATTGCATAAATAGGCAGCTGTTCTGTATTTAGAATATAAATGAGTCACCAGCTTGCTCTCCCTTGAGGATTTACCTGCAGTAGGGAACCACAGTGTTAACTCCTTCTTACCCTCCTGTTTTAACATCACATTTAAATACACACTCTCTCAGCCCATTCAGAAGCAAATCTTTATGCATGTAAATCACACCTTTCTTGCCAGTTAGACAAAAGAACCCAAAAAATGTGCAGTTCACTGTGCTAAAATGGAACACATTTCCTCAGCAGCGAAAGCAGTACATTAATCAGCTTATAAACTGAGAGTGAGCAATTTGTGCGGAATTCTTTCTTATGGCTCCTTCAATAGGAGACAAGGTTCTCTAATCTCATAAAAGGCCATGACTTCATTAAGATGGAAAACCATGTTGTTTCAAGAGACAAGAAAAGAAAAGCCTAAAAGTCACTCAGTTGTCTCTCTGGACCTATTTTCAGGACAGAGAACTTTTATTTATTTGGAGAATGACAATTAACCTAGAGACTTGGCCCAACAAAGAAGCAGAGTGCTGAAGTGGGTCTCATTACAGGACATCAAAGGCAGTTGGTTTGACCTAATCCACATTTGCAGCAGATGATTTACATAACAGGCTAGCCCAGCTGCCCAGTTTTGATTTCAAATAGCTTGACCAAATTATATATATAAAATGTATATGCGTGTGAATATGTATATATGTACACACACACATATAGAGAGAGACATATATGTACACTATTTGTATGTGCATAATTGTTTGTTTAACCCCAAGACACATTTGGGGGGAAAAAAACTTGTCAGTGTTAGAATATCAAAGAATAGGAAAAGTCAAGGCATTAACAAAAAGCAAAGGCAGTTATGGTTTATGGTATATTAACTGGTTTCAACTACTTTTTTAAATTGAAATATTGTTGACTTACAATATTGTATTAGTTTCAGCTGTACAACATAGTGATTCAAGTATTTTTATAAACTACACACCATACAAAGTTGTTATAAAATGTTGACTATATTCCTTGTGTTGTACATCACATCCTTGTAACTTATTTATTTTGTAACTGGTAGTTTGTACACCTTAATCTCCTTTACCTGTTTTCTCAACTGCTTTTTCATATGTTTACCCTAAAATAGACGTAGTCCTTATTTGCTAAATAAACCAGTATTCTGCAATCTGAGAGGACCGAGTCATTTCTCCAGGCTTTCCATCTTGCCAGGGGAAGTACACAGATAGATAGGTGACATTTGGAGATTCAGGCATGCCAAATTTTCAGAGGTTACAGCGGAGGTCCAACCTGCTGTTCTCCTAATGAAAGAGGGGAAATTCAGACTGGCAAAAGTGCTATAAGGGATATCTCTGCTTCGAATGTCACGCTGCCCAGATGTCGCTTGGCAGGTGGAGATGCAGACAGAATGAAAATGTAGCCCTGTGTATGTGGGTGCTAGTGCGTTGCGAGGGTGAACAATGAGTCTATCTTCTGAAGAGTAATGAAAACAGTGTGGATCTTGTCCATATTCATGTCATGAGAGAGGGTTTTCTCAAAAGAGTTCTCACCCTGCTTCCCCTCCCAGACGGACATGCATACATGCTCCCAGACCACATGCACGTGACTTGTTTCAGAGCTTTAAGTATAAGGTGGCAATTTATTTTAATGTATTTATATACATGTATGTATATGTATATTTTTAATAGAAAACAGGGTCATACTACATAAATTGTTTGGTACTGTGAATTTGTATTAAATCTGAAAGCTGTATCATGAATGTTTCCTATCCTATTGTCCTTTGACTTACCTCATTTTTTAATCAGATTTTATAGCAAAGATTCATGATCATATAGTCAGCCATTCTCCTGTTGATGAGCAGTTAGGTTGGCTCTAAAATATTCTAAAGTGGGCCAGGCTTTGTTCTCGGCAATTATCCTGGCAAATTTTATTAGAATAAAGTAAGACTTTGAAGTCACCCTTTGCAAGAGAAAGCTAAGGTTACTTGTCACTGAGTTTTCTTTTACTCCAATTGTTTTTCTTCAGTGTTACGAGATGACTTCCGGCAAAATCCCACAGATGTTGTAGTGGCAGCCGGAGAGCCTGCAATCCTGGAGTGCCAGCCTCCCCGGGGACACCCGGAACCCACCATCTACTGGAAGAAAGACAAAATTCGAATTGATGACAAGGAAGAAAGAATAAGTGTGAGTTAAATTAAAATGAACACCTAGAGAGATTGAATATCCAGTCTTAACTTGGATGTATTTTATTCTTTTCTTTATTGTTAATAAAGCTGTAGAACTGTATTTGAGTGCTAATTACCATTTACACTGTATTGAAAGGACTGAAAAAGGGTAACCAAAACCAAAAACTTCTAAATGAGGCTTCAAAGAGACAAAAATTATATAAATCAAGTGTCCATGATGTATTAATAATTACATCAACCTGAATATGTAAATATATCTTATGCAGTGGAATATTGATGTTGAACCTCGTTTCAAGATCTCCAAACGTATCTTTTGATCACACAGTACATGACTGTAAATAAATGATGGCCATAAACCATATAAACTAGAACATTTCTTTTTGCAGTACTTTCAAAATTAAAAGAGGAAATAATTTGAAGTGATAAATATTTCAAGCTCTTTTCCAATTTTTCCAATGTAATAATATTTATATCTAAAGTATTACACATTGAATTTGTTAAAAGTTGAAGAGATATTAAAATCAGTGGAAAAATGACTACCTGGTTCTGCAATTTAGCTCTTATAGAAAAATAGTCTGTTCTCAAAGGAAATTCTTGGTCAAGTTAATCAGTTGATTAATATTCAAAATAAAACACCCAGGAAAGGGTAAAAAGGTTAAGGGGAATGGCATACAATAATTTTATTTTTTCAGAAGATCCACTCAACATGTATGTGAAGTTTGTAAGTGAAAACAGTCCACTGAAATAGTAGATAATGCCTCAGCCTTCTGACATTGTTCTTAGTATAATTTTTATATTCAGTACAATAATTGAGAATGAATATATTTTATTTAAAGTCATGACATTTAACTGAACAAATATGTCATTTCTATCACAAAGTCCATATTGTCTGAGTGGCTCTTATCTTTTAAATTATCTTAAGTTTGAGGGCTTTTTCTTACACATGCATTGTGATTACATCATAGCACAGAGCCAGAGAGGCCAGGCAAGAGTATCGCATACATCACAGTGTGTGTCCATGTGATTCTGGCTTGGACTGTTGACACTGCGAGGACCTATACGGAAGGAGAATTTGGCTCCCAATTGTCTGTGCTTGGATACCAAACTTACGAAAATGTGCTCTCGGTAATGGAGTCAAATCAATGTTCAAGGGTTTTCTGATTCATGATTGTATGATTTAGCTTTTGCTTTTTAACAAACCATGCCAAAATACAGTGGCTTCTAATAACCATTATATTTACACTATGATTCTGTAGGGAAGCTGACAGTTCTTTGCTCTGGGACAACCTGGCTGATCTTTGCTAGGTTTTCTCATGCTTTCATGGCTTGTTAAAGGTGTGCTGGCAGCTGAATAATCCAGGGTAACCTAACTCACATGTCTGACCATTGACTGCCTCTCAGCCAGGCATCTTGGTTTTTCACCTCATGGCCCCTCATTTTCAAGCAGGCTAGCTCAGGCTGGTTCCCATGGTGGTCTCAGGGTTCCAGCTGCAGCAAGAGAAAGCAAGTCCCAGTGTGTGACCACTTTTCTTCTGGTGAAACATTGCTTTAGTTCCATTGGTCAAATCAAGTCATATTGTCACATTCATCTTCAGGGGAGGAAAAATGGCCTCTGTGGTTTACAGCCTAACATTCATTATGCTCCACTGCATATAGTTGAGAACAGGTTGACAGTATTTTCTTCCTATGTTAAAAAAAAAAGTTGCAAATCCCTTTCTATGACATGACAAGTTTTAGAGCCTGAAATATGTCTGATGAAAACATACCTGCTTAAGTTCTGTCTGCCTTTGAAATTAAAAATTAATGGAGGAAACCAGCATGTTCTTACCTCATATCTCTTTAAGAACACTCAATCATTATAAAGTTAAGATTGTTGAACTAGATAAATACCAAAAAAGCCCTCAAAATCAGAAAAGAAGCTGTAAGTTGATGATACACTTACTGAAAACGTAATTCTGCTTTAATGTCCTCTTCAACAAACAGATATTTTAACATTATCGTATTTGTTTATTCAATCAATAAATGCTTCTCATTTAAGAAACATTAATGGAGCACCTATTAGAAGCCAACGATTTGTACCAACTCATAGTCATCATTTTAAGAACTTTATTTTTATCAAACCCAACCTCCTCTTCAAAAATTATCTCATAAATGCAATTAGGATGAGACAAAGATAATTTTAATACTAACAACTGAAATGTAAACTCCACAAAGGCAGACATTTTTATTATTTGGTTTACTATTGAAACTCAAGGGCCTAGAACATTGTCCAGCCCCAAAGGTACTCCACAAATACTCACTGAATTCTTCTGGATCAGTTGGATTTTATTATATTATCCAAAGCAGATGATAACTCCTTTCTGGTGACAGATGTCAATGGGAGCTCATTCAACAGAATCAGAGTGAAGACTAGGCCCTGGGGTTTGACGGGAACAGTCACAAGACTGATAGGACCAGGCGAGAGATAGGAAGACGACCTTAAAGAAGCATTACCTAGAAAGGGAGCACGGAGGCTTATACCGAGGGGGGATTTAAGAGCAGAAAGGACAGGATTTAAGAGAAGATAGGACACATGCAGATACCAAAGCAGTGGGAGAGTTTTGTGTCTTAAACACTGAGCTATTTCCCTTAGGGAGAAAATATGCTTAAATACTCAAAATTATTTATTAGTGACCTTTCTTTCTTTGTTTCTTTTCCTTTCATTTTCTTTTCTTTTCTTTCTTTTTCTTTCCTTTTTCAATTTTAACAGATCCGTGGTGGAAAACTGATGATCTCCAACACCAGGAAAAGTGATGCAGGGATGTATACCTGTGTTGGCACCAATATGGTGGGAGAAAGAGACAGCGATCCAGCAGAGCTGACTGTCTTTGGTAAAACTCTCTTTTAAATTATAAATTGCTATTTATATCTACTTTTCCTTTGCTTTTAAACTTTTTTATTACACCAGGCTGTATAGGAACAGTTAACTTATGACTTGTGCTGAGCATGGATAGGCTAGAATTGTCTTGTTTTCTGGTTTTGTCTTTCAAATGAAATCTTTGCTATGAAGAAAAATAAAATTTTGAAACATTAATTTACCTGCTTTATTCATATGTATTTACAGAATTTTGCCTTTCATCAAAATGTAAAAACTTGCTCTTTCTCAAAATCTATTTGAGAGGTTATATCCACCTGAAGTTTATCATTCATTCCATTGTGATGCATTTATCAAGTATTTATTATCTATATGACCCAGGGTAAGGCTTTTAAAAATTAGAGAGTACAGTGTAAAGACATTGCACTTGTTTTCTACTTTACGAAATTTCAATGGAGCTATTTGCAGTTTTAGTTCATGACAAAAAGACAGGCTTGCCAGCTATACGCACACACAATCAAAATTAGAAAAAAAATATAGTAAACTGTTTTGCCATGGTATTCATGATATGATATGAATATCATATTAATTCAATAATTAGCATCAAAAACCCACAAGTACAGTTTCTTCAACTATAAGAACCAAGGGACTCTTGGGAGTAATTCAGTTAATTGGTTGAAACCTGATTAGATCTGTATTACAGACATAGTGGCGAAGGCATTAGGAAGGAGAAGATTGGAGATGATAAAGATGGTCGAGAAAGCAAAGTATGGACAATACTACAGGGCAGCTGTGGAAAACTAAAAAAGAAATACAGCGACAGAAAACTGAGGAAAACAGGGATTCTGAAGATACCAGAAAATTAAACATTCCTTTAGAAGACACTAAAGTCCCACTCAAGTCTCATTTAGGTCTCTGTGTGGAGAATTTATTATACACGCACACAGATGCATGTACACAGACATATACGTAAGTACTTATACACACATTTATTACAGATGTTTATCTATCTATCTATATTTGAATAAAAGAATCACTATTGCAAATATTGCATGATTTTTCTTAAATACAAAAGATAATTGTGAATTTTAAATTCCTTTTTTTTGTGCCAGTAAAACAATCTTCTGGATCTATGCATGATATGTTAAGGTCCTATTTCTGGTCATTACTCCAGAACATACCCGAGGATAGAATCAGAATCCAGCATACATCCCAAAGAACCTCTTTTGCCTTTTGGGATGTGCCACCCATGGTGTAACGGGAGTGCCACGATGCAAAAAAGAGCCATATTATGATTTCCATCACATTTAGAGTGTTAAGGTGTGCTTTATGAATATGTACCAGAGGGCTCTGAGTACTGAGTAATCTCTGGTAATACTCCTGTGGATACTAAGCAGCTTGAAGTCCCAAATAACAAAACCAGGAGAAACCCCATAATTCATTAAAGGAATTGAACAGTAGAAATAAAACTGTTCAAAGTATGCATGTAAATTTCTCTCCTGTAGAGCTTAGACAAGTATCAGTTTGCCCTTAAATTTCATGCAGTCATCTATAAAGGTCCGAAAATGTGCTTTATACCATAATGAATAAAATACAGTTTTGCCTGCTAAGATATGAAATTAGTGGTCACTGAACATTAGCATTGAAAACCCACAAGTACAGCTCTTCTATTTAAGGAAACACTCATCTCTCTTTTTCTGTAGCTACCACAAGCTTTGGAACAGAAAAATGTTGCATTACAGCAGTATATATTGCCTTCAGAAGGAAATTGAAAGGTTTAGTGTCATTACCCAAGCAATTAGACTTACCAAAATGTGACTGTGTTATGAAATATTTACCCTGTTTTCCCTAAAGACATGATGAGAACTACAGGAGATCCCTAAACATGTCAGGACTTACAGGGGAGACTTCTAAATTATTTTGAAAGTAGCTATAAACCAAAGAGATTGAATTTGTCTAGAGGCAGTTCCTCTGGAACATTTGATTTAGGAAGCTGAGAAACATTTATCTCATGGTGTAAACTAATCAGAACTGACCTAAGGGGTTATAAGTATAATATTAAGTTGAGGGAAAAACTAAAATTCCATTATTGATAAGAAAATAACATCCAAATTCAGAAATGGAACATGAAAACAGTAGCGATGGTCTAAATCATGGTTGTGACAAAGTATTACTTGAGAAAGAACCCTCCTGCATCTTGATTCCCCAATTCTTAGAGAATATAAAATAGTGTGCTATGTTTAATGAGTCCTTCTTTATTTCATTTTGATGATCTTGCATCCAGAAAATGTTTTCTAGCAAACCTATTTGTATTTCATCGCTATTAGACACTTTTCTTTTCTTTCTTTCTTTCTTTCTTTCTTTCTTTCTTTCTTTCTTTCTTTCTTTCTTTCTTTCTTTCTTTCTTTCTTTCTTTCTATCTTTCTTTCTCTT